ATTTTTGGTCAGTTTTCTTCTATTATTTACTAGTAGGGCAGCGTGGACATTACTGGCTTTTTTACATTTCATCTACTATCTCCCAGCAACACTGGAACAATGCTGCCATCTAGCTGGTGTTTTGTTTCATGCACCTTCTCACCTCCATGGAAGATGTCCTCTCTCCTTCTGGTCTAAAGCTCTCTGCCTTGGTCTCCGCCCCCCGTCCCGCCTCCTTACAGCTACGAGGGGCCGAGGGGAAAAAAAAAGTTCATCCAGTGGCCATATGTCTTGTCCGCAGGAGGGCTAATGGTACTGAAGGCATATTACATGTCCCGGGCATCGGGCACACCATGCTGCACATCTGACAGACTTACTGCACACACATATTCGCTCTATAAGATGCACAGACATTTCCCCTTACTTTATTTCCCCTTACTTTTGAGGGGGGGGGAAGTGCGTCTTATAGAGCAAAAAATACGGTAATGATTTCCCGTCTGTGCGAGTTTTTTGATGTGATGTAAAGTGTACATTTGAAATAAAGCAAATTCCACACTCTAAACAATTAAATGGTTTCTCAGCTGTGTGGATTCTCTGATGACTCACAAGACCTGATTTTCTAGAAAAGGTATTTCCACACTCTAAACATTTAAATGGTTTCTCCCCTGTATGAATTCTCTGATGATCCTTAAGGCTTGCTTTTCTAGAGAAGATGTTTCCACACACTAAGCATTTAAAGGGTTTCTCCCCTGTATGAGTTCTCTGATGGTACAAAAGACTTGTTTTTCTAGAGAAGTTATTTCCACATTCCAAACATTTAAATGGCTTTTCCCCTGTATGTATTCTTTGATGGTGCAAGAGGTTTACGTTTGCCCTAAAGTTCTTTCCACACTCCAAGCATTTAAAAGGTTTCTCCCCTGTGTGGATTTTTTGATGGTTCAGGAGACCTGTGTTTCCATGAAAGCACTTTCCACACTCCAAGCATTTAAATGGTATCTCATCCATATGAACTCTTTTGTGTTTCTTAAGGTCTTGTCTTCTATGGAAACTCTTTCCACACTCGAAGCACTTAAATGGCTTTTCCCCTGTGTGGATTCTCTGATGACAGATGAGACTTGTATTTCTAGTGAAACCCTTTCCACATTTGAGGCATTTAAAGGGCTTCTCCCCTGTGTGGATTCTCTGATGGTGCCTGAGGCTTGTTTTTCGACTGAAGTGCCTTCTGCAAGTCAGGCATTTAAATGGTTTCTCCCCTGTGTGGATCCTCTGATGTACAACTAGGCTTTTTTTCACACCAAAGACCTTGCCACACTCCAAGCACCGAAATGGTTTCTCCCCTGTGTGACTTTTTTGGTGTGACTTAAGCGCTGAGGTTTCAGTGAAACATTTCCCACAATCCAAGCATTTTAACGGTTTCTCCCCAGTATGAATTCTTTTGTGCCTGCAAGGATAGGAAGTTCGACTGAAGCTCTTTCCGCATGCTAAGCACTGAAGTGGATTCTCTGCTGAGTGGGGCTGCTGAGCAGCAGTCAGATTCACCTCTCGACTGAAGTTCTTTCCATGCTCCAAACTTTTGTGTGGTTTAGAAGAGGCTGTTTCCATCTGTGCGCTCTGGCCATCTACTGGAAAGAAGAGAAATAATTGGTAGAAGCACAATTGAAAAACTGTGGAATTTTAAGAATTCTGGTAGCTAACTACAGTCTAAGAGCAACCATTCTCTTCCGCTACAGCAGCTGAGGAGACCGAGGGGCATCTCCCCCTGATGACAGGAAAGCAGCTCCTTCCGCCCCCTCCAGAGTCTATTCTAGCTGTTCATTGAAAGGAAATTGAAAATGTAAGAAGCAAGGGCTTAAGCTGCTTCTTCCACCCCTCTTTGACTTTCCTCTTTCCTTCTCTGCTGTGCCTTTCATATTTAGAAAGAGGTTTGTTGTTCTGAATATAAAGAGAATCACCTCACATACACAGCACTGATGTGGTGCTGAGTACCACAGCCTCATAGCTCAGCATTTTGCATGCTGAAGGGCCCGGTTAGAATCCGAGATTTCCATTTAAAGGATCTTGGCAGGGGAACCCAAAGGGGAATGACATCCTCCCTCCCATGCATGAAATTGGAAGTCCAATTGCTGATGATCAAAGCCAAACATGGCTTACAAAGCATTTTCAATATACTGTTTAAATATCCTTTCCTCACTGCCCAGCCCATTCTAGCCCTATCCAAACCTACCAAATCCACTTTGTCTGAAATTCTAATTGTAATCTTGGAGTCGCCAATATGGTGCTCACAACTGGTGCCCAACACTCTGCATCTCCTGTTATACTTCTGTGAAATGGGCATTTTCTTGCGCTTTAGGAGAGCAAAGATACTGTTCAGAATTTGGGCCTTTGTCTTGTACTCCCGACAGCCCCATCAAATGCATTTTCCCTCAGAACCATGTCCCACTGAGATGAAAAGGAATTGCTCTGGAGATTTCCACCAGATGTGGCCTCAGGAAGTAACCCTTTCACACCATTTTTCTCAGATTCCCGGATGCAGTTGGGGGCACCAACCAACAGCAGTCTCAGGAGAGACCCCAAAAGCTGCCCAAGGAGAAAGAAGAGGACACCGGCTGATTAAATGGAGCAAGTGTGCAGAAGGAGCTGACCACAGCTTTTAAAAACCCCTTCTAAATTGGTTGTACCGATCATGCGCACTGGAGAACCTTACCTAAAGAGGCTACCGTCCTAACATTTTCTTCCATGACTTCCCGGTGCAGGGCTTTTTGGTCTGGACTCAGCAGGGCCCACTCCTCGGCAGTGAAATACACAGCCACGTGCGTGAAGGTCAGCTGAAAAAGCAAACATAATCCCTGAGCAGGAAACAACAGGGCTTCTTGCTTTCTTAACGACGTGCGGAAAAAGAAATCGCGTTGTCGGGAGATCGCCCCAGAGGAGAACTCTTCCTGCACGGCCTCTTTAATTGAGAGCTTTGGCAGATGGAAGTGAGCGGATGGTTATTTCAGGCCAAAGGAAACCTCCAGCAGAAAGAGGCACTCTGCCCCTCTCCCAGCCGCCCCATGTCACCCCCACATACCAGATCTGGTTGCACGGAAGCTGCTTCAAGCACGCCGTGACCAGGAGATGAGTTCCTACATTCTGTCTTCCCCCTGGGCGCGTCTCCTGCAAGAAACACAAAAACGGCAGAGACGCGTTTGCCTTCCCACCTCTTCCCCATTCCGTCCTGCCCATCCTTGTGCCGTCTGTAGCTGAAGCAACAGCTTCAATGCACAACTGGAAGGAGGGCTGGCCTAGAGGTAACTCCAGATAGGCAGGTTCAAGAAGACATCTTGAGGATAAAGCCCTTCCCTTCCAAAGCAACCCTAAAAGCTGCAATGGCCTTGGAAGGTCATTGCACTGGGAAGGAAGAAAGGGATTTTGGGTGGGAGAGAAAACAAAATCAAGTATCTGGAGAAGAACACTTAGAAATAAACAGAGCACAAAGACAACCAGGGGGACTTGTGCCTTGGTTCATCTTGAGACGATCTACTGAAATGCTCCGTGAGACACCCAGGAGAGCTCAAATATGTCCCGTGACTCTTTACCTAGTGAAGTGGCAACTCCGTTTCTCTCCTGTAGATCGATCCCGGCCAGGGGCACCTGCTTGTTGTCTCTCTGAGCCTTCTCTGCCAGAAGTAAGTCAGGGGAACCATTGGCAAAGAATTCCTGAACAGGGGAGAACAGAGAAGATGGCAAACAGACACAACGGTTAGAAAACAGAGAGTTAAGGACAAGGTCTAAGTCAGTTTCTCCAGCCTTTGGAGACTCAGAGGCACATTGGCTGAGCAGTTCCTAGGATCCCAAATTAGGGGTTGTG